GGTATTTTTGCGTTTGAATAGTTACCAAGTTGTGGATCCTGAACGAGCTACGCAGAGCTTTCGAGTCACCCGCATGTTTTAGAGGTATCTGTCGTCGCCCGCTCGCACCCCAAGTGGGGTGAACGTCCAATGGCTTTCGTAATTCTTCGTCCGGAGCACGCCCCCAAGTGGAAAGACAACCATGACGGCTTTGGTACTGAGCTGATCCGTCACGCTCGAACGCTTTTACCCGGCTTTGCGTGCCCAGAATGGGTGCAAATAGTGGATGAATTACCTGTCAGTCATGCATAATTTCCATCCACATCCCGCTAGACGCTTACACTACTTACAGAAAACATCTACTGGGAAGATCCTCAAGACCAACCTTCGCAAAGTCGTTGCCAAATTGTGATCTTAATGATCTAATGCTAATATATTGCTGAAATGTATCGGTACATACTTATGCTCGATTTGCCAAATAAAAGGATATGAGTGAGTGATAAAACAACAGCTAAATGGAAATGTTGCAAGAAGATCTAGGCATAATAAGTTGAAAATGATCACAACAAATCGGGACTTAGTCGCAGTATCCGGAATGCACCAGCATTACGTTCACATATGAATACCTCGTCTCCCTGACGCCCAAGAAAGAGCACCTCGTCTGTGCTCTCGGTGTCCCCATCTCCCGTGTTATTGAACTCCGCTCTTGCAGGAGATTTCCCCGTGGTATGATTTGGCTTCTTCCCAAGGTAGCCTGACCCTTTTGTCTTTGACGACAGGGCCATAGCATTTGATGTGGAGGAACCGACAGGAGTGCCCATCTTCCAAACGAACGGTCCACGTCTATTGATATTCGATGGCGGCGGTGCGAATTGGGGTAACAGGGTACGCGACTCATCCGCAGGTTTGAGTAACGCGTCACCAAAATCCATCGCTTCCATGCCCCCTTGGCGCATAGCCACGAGGACAGAGCGGTCTTTGACGTCAAAAGCCTCTACACGCTTAACGTCTCCCATGCGGGGAATCGACTCATCATCGTTGTCCGTGCTCCAGATAAAGCGGCCTTTGAGAACAGCCCGACCACGAGCATCGACTATGGACGTACTGTGGCCGCCACGTGAAGAGAAGAACAATGCAGGCGGGCCGAAATGTCGAGGCTGGACGAGAAGAGATATTGGGGCTAAGAGAGGTTTGGCAGCATCTAACGCAGGAGGAGCGTGCTGGGCTGCCGATGGTGGTGTTGCTGACCGGAACTGGATGGGAAGGATCAACGCACTGCTGCCTCAGATCCTTGAGTAACATGAACACTTTCTCCTCCTCTTTGCGAACTGGTAGATCTGGTGGAAGCAACCCATCCTTATACCACGCTTGCATAAGGCTTGCTTTCCAGGGCCCTGATCCTGCTTAAGAACGCGTTTCAAAAAAGTGACGCTTCGACATACCGTGCACAACTCCTTTCGGATCGCGGTAAAGCCATCTAGAAGGCGGTGCTGCTGCTGGCATGGGTAGGCCAGGAGGTGAAAATTGTATAGACGCTAGGTCAACATTGGCATTACCTTGAGCATCGGGTTCATGCTCGGCACGGTAGTCAAGGAACTCGGGATATGTTGGTGGAATGATATAGTCATCAGCGATAGTAGCCAAAGGCAACTTTGGCGCATAGGACAACTGTTGGAAGGTGGTATATGGGCCAAGAGGAGCGGAGGCTAGTGCTACAAGCTCTTCAGCGTGTGCAAGAGCAGATCCAGGGGCACCACCAGTTGGTGTCTGCGATTGAGATACTGGCACGTCTGGGAGATTAGTATTAGAATTATTTCTAGACGGATCGCCGGATGGTAATGAAAGTCGATTGCTGATACTGATGTTGGTATCTTCGTCATCTTGTGGAGGTGGGTCTGTGTCAAAGACGTCTGGCTGACCCGAGCGTATTTCTCGAACTCTTCGCCGAGCTGCACGTCGCTCGGCTCGACCAATTCGGACCTCGCGAACTCGTACTGTGGCAGGTTCCAAGCCAAAGACATTCTGAGAAAAGACAAGAAATACTTCGACAAGGTCATCACCCTGCAGCTGGAGTTCCAAAGAACGCGGTGAATCGGGAAGGATGAAGGTACGTGAAAGACCCAGGGCAGTTCGATACGTCCCGGCAAAAAGCTCAACCTTTTCGCCATTATCTCCACAGAGAATAGCTAGAAAGCTGCACAAGGTCTCAATAGATATACTTGTGAAACTCTGATTACTCACCTCTTTTTTGGCGTCTCCACGGCTTTGATGATAAGGGAGCCTTTCGTACCCGGTAGCTTGACGTAGTCCAGCTTTGGAGGAGGTAGTGATGTTGTAAGAGTCTGTGATCCATTCTTCCTTTCAGGCTCTGTGAATACCAGCGCTGGAGGCCGCTCGGTAGACCTCCTGGAACTGAATGCATTGCTTATAATGCGAGGAAGAAGGCGAGCGTGAATTGTCGGATGTGGAGGAATGGGTAAAGTGGGTAAAGGTGGTCGATTGACGGTAGGGGATACGCTATGTCCTCCTGAGGTCGAAGGACGAGGAACAAGCTGAGGGGGTTCTGAGGGACGTGAACGTGTGGAAGCTGAACGTGTCAGAGTTGGGAACCTTTCCTCAGCCCCGGGTAGGGGTATCGTCGGAGATGTTGGAGATGTGGGGGACTCCAGAGGAGTATCATACATCACAGGGACATTAGAGTGGGGGCCATCAGACGAACCGCTGCCGTTGAAGATGCCAGCCAGTACTGACCACCTCCTTCTTCGCCTTTCAGAAAAATTCGTAGTACTCGGGCGGCGCCGTAAAGAGCGACCGTCCTGTGATGGAGGACTGAGTGGCGCATCATCATCTGTACCTGATGGAGTTGCTCCGATCATAATCGGAGCTTGTGGTCTCATTGTCCCTGCTGGTGGGAGATCAGGAACTCTGCTCTCCAAAAGAGCCTGAGCAAGCGTTATATGGTCGATTGTACCAGTCGCGCCGTCGTCGTCGTCATCATCTAGATCGATATCTGGAACAGGGCGTCTTTGAGGTGGCTCATCAGCGGGAGCCGGGGTTGGAGGTGTTGTGCGAATGCTTGGCGGCGAACTCCGCAATGCTTGTCGAATGGTCTGCAAGGTTGGAGATGGTTCAGGGGGTTGAGCTAGTATCGTGTTCGGTTGCGCCAGAGTCAGATCTAAGTTCGCGGGACGATTCCTTCGACTATATGTGGCTGAACTGCGTACGGGAAGTGACGTAGAACCACCTTCGACGGTATCGCTGTTTCGGAGTGGGGGAATAGCGCTAGTGCGTTCATCCAAAGCTTGACTACCGCTTGCACCTGCGGTTAGTACATCGATGGCTTCATCGTCACTCGCCTCGAGCCAATCTACAGTCTTGGCCATCGGGTCTTCCTGCTCTGTACCAGAACCCATATTGGGTAGGGGTGGGACGGGGGGAACGATTACATGAGAAAGGGACGAACGACGGGACCTTGAGAGGTTGACCGAAATGGTAGATGGTTGTGTCTGCAAACGGGGTCGAGTGATTTCGGTTACTGCAGAATAAGGTGGGGGCTGTTCGGCTGGCTGGCGGGGCATTACAGGTTGGACTGTGGGCGGCCTGGGCAATTTCTGCATTGAAGTTGTCGGTAATGATGACTTTCTAAGGAGCTTTTCTGTCTTGAGAACCTGCCCCGAGCGTGTCAACGACCTGAATTTCGCCTCGGTTGAATCCACACTGGAGTTGCCAGATCCTACCCTCTTCGATTCCTCCCTCTTAGATCGTTCACGTTCTCGCCGAGTCTCAACCTCCATACGCCACTCTACGGCTTTTTTGACTTCCTCCAACGCATAAACACGAACACCGTCTCGTCTGCCTGCTATGGCTACTAATACACCGCGATGTTCCATAACGACCACACTCTTGAAGCTGACCCTGCGCACCAGCGCGTAAGGATGGGCGGCTGGGGGAGACACGAGAGGAAGGACATCAAGTCCTTGGGCATGGCACAAAAGAAGGTAGTGAGGTGCCATAAAAGTTCCACTGGTAGGAGGAGTGGTAAAGTGTGAAGGAGATAAATCTTCTGTGACGACTGATAGGGAGAGACCGAGTTCTCTCAGAGTTGGAGGGGCGAGTGAAGGTGGAGGCGTAAGAGGTCTGGTAGGTGTAGGAGGTGGAGATATGGACCTAGAATCAGACTGAACTGGGTCGGTTGGCTGCGGCCCATCATCTCGAGCAGATGTTCGGGAAGAAGATGGGGTAATTGTATCCCTCCGATGTATTAAATTTGACCAAAAACCAGAGAGGCGATTGGAGGGACGTGCCTGATAGAAAATTATTCGACTGAGGCAGAAGTGATCATTGTAACTCACATCCATGGCAGACCTGCGATTGTTTCTGGTTGAATTTGAACGTTCAATTAGCCTATTACTTGGTTCCGACAATGGATCCGTGGATGCAGTAGTGGGTGTTTGAACTGAGGAAGCGGGTATGACGGGCAGGCTGTGGATGCTTGCATTATCAAGGGACTGTTGAGTATTCGTGGGAAGAGAAGCTGTGTCCGTCGCAGGCTGAATGGCCGATTCAGTATTAGTAGTCTTCGGAGTACTAGTATCGACGACTTTGATGGCGGTGACCGTCAGACCCTGAGGACTTGAATTCATGTCCACGGTATTATCCTGCCCATCGTCGGGAATGACCACTGGGGCATCTCCGCACTGGCCTACAAGACTATGGGCTTCGTCCATTATGGAGGAAAGAGCGACAGAGCGCGGTTCCCTCTCTGCCAGCGAGATGAGACTATAAGTGAAAGAGACAAGAGCCCCGTTTACCCGTGACTTAGTACAAATGCAAATGGCCGAGACCGATGATTTATTATCCCACGCCACGTCAGTGTGAACAACCCTCTCTGGTATAGGTATTTTTACTTTGGACCAACTTTGGGCCTGGTCATCCGACGGTCGTCCTTCGCGGCAGTTTGTTATTGCTCATTCCCAACCACGTTCGTTATTGCAGAGCGTAACGTCCCAGCGATCTGCGCCATGCTTCGTCTGCACAATTTCATTCGTCCAGCATTTCGCTCCCGTAGATGGGCTCATAATATCCCTACGTTTTCTCACCTGAACTCCGTCAACGAGGAGGATATCGCACACTTCTCCAGTATACTCGCACCCACGTCTATACTATCAACTTTGTCATCAGTCTCCACCCCCGCAGATGATATTGCACCCTACAATGTCGACTGGATGGGAAAATACCATGGTCAAGCCAACTCCGTGCTCAGACCCCGCACGACACAACAAGTTAGCGAAATTGTCAAGTATTGTGCTCAGCGTAAAATTGGAATCGTCCCCCAAGGCGGTAATACTGGCCTAGTCGGTGGTGGTATCTCTTTGCAGAAAGAAATTGTTCTCAGCTTAGGCGCAATGAACAATGTTCGGTCTTTCGACCCTGTCTCTGGTACTTAGCCTGTACCTTATTATAATGTGACTCTATATTCTATTTCAGGTGTTCTCGTCGCCGATGCTGGGTGCATTCTCCAGTCCCTGAGTGAATATATTGCCCCTCACAATCACATCATGCCCCTTGATCTCGGTGCAAAGGGAAGGTGTGTAGAGCTGTACTATATATCCAGCAAACTAATTTAACGGACCCTTTCAAGTTGTCAAATCGGTGGTAATATTTCCACAAACGCAGGTGGTCTCCGACTCCTACGTTACGGATCTCTGCATGGTACCGTCCTAGGATTGGAAGTAGTTCTACCAGACGGTACAATTCTGGACCAGCTATCAACCCTGCGAAAGGATAACACCGGTAATTTTAAAAAGTTTCACCCAGGATATAAGCTCCCCTCCTAACTTCTGATAGGCTATGACCTTAAGCAACTCTTCATTGGTGGAGAGGGTACACTCGGTATCGTTACCGGGGTCTCCATCCTCACACCTCCTGCACCCCAGGCCACCAACAACATATTTTTGGCATTACCCCGCTTCGACAATGTTTTACCACTCTTCCAAACTGTGAAACGCCAACTTGGAGAAATCATGTCTGCTTTCGAGTACATCGACCGCACCGCTTACGACATGGGTTTGCAACACGGTCTTGGCCCTTTGCTCAGCGCAGATGAAGTTGGCGACTCGCAATGTTTTGTACTGGTCGAAACCAGCGGTGGGAACCAGGATCACGATTTAGAGGTGCTGTCATTTTCCTTGTGGTCAGTGTGTGAACTAATGCTTGGATAATCCAGAAACTTAACAATCTTCTGGAGAGCTTGCTGACCGCCGATGAACCGTTGATTAACACCGGTGTTCTTTCCCAGTCACCCACTCAATTCAACTCGATATGGGCTCTGCGTGAAGGCTTGACTGAATGTGTTCAGAAAGAAGGCAAACCATACAAATATGACGTTTCTGTCCCCCTTGCAGACTTCCAAAATGTCGTCGATGCTGTTCGGGAACGCATGATTTCGAAAGGGCTCTACGGAGATCACGCAATTTCCAAGGTCATGGGATACGGCCACGTTGGCGACGGTATTACCATCTCCCTATGCTACCTTAAGGCCAGACCACTTATTCCTTCGTAGGAAACCTGCATCTTAATGTGATCGCCAAGCATGGATACCGCCCAGAGCTTGAGGCAGCTCTGGAGCCTTTCATCTATGAAATTGTCGGTGCGTATTGCTTCTCGCAGAAATTTACTGTTGCGGCTGTTGACGATCATCTTGATTCAGCTGAACGCAAGGGCTCGGTGTCCGCAGAGCATGGCATTGGATCGATGAAGAGGGATGCGCTGCATTACTCTAAGAGTGAAATCAGTATTGAGTGGATGAGGAAGGTCAAGCAGGTTTTTGATCCTTTGAATATCATGAACCCCGGGAAGGTTCTCCCATAGAGCTGAGTATATATCATGGCGTTGATGTGACTTCAAGTTTCATCACTGAGCGCTCACCTCCCACGGGAACATGATAGCATACCTCCTTATGCATTTACTAGGGTCGCAATGGATCTTTCAATCAAGTGTTTCGCATTCTAATTATTACGAAAATCAATCAACGCCGGAAACGTGAGTACAGTTATAGCATCGGATGGGCTGTTTCATGTAGATCACAATAATAATCAGTCAGACTCTTACACACGGGTCGTTCCTCTGGAGGTAGATCCTCGGAGCTGATGTGACGTGGGGAACTCCCGGACCGGACTGGGGCTGACGAAGGCAAGTACTTTGATAGACTATTGTTGGGCTAGGGTTGGGCTGGTTATTAATGTTGTTGGCGGCCATAAAACATGTCTCACGTCACCAATATTAATTGTAACAGGCCGTTGCCAAATTAAACTCAAATGTATCACGGAAAACGATAGGGTTCAGTAAGAACCATGCTGGCATGGTTTAATTTTTATTATCCATGGTGATTATCGTCGAGTGACCATGAGTGATATATACAGCCATAGGGCACTGCGCGGGGAAACAGTGCACCGACGTGGGTCTACGGTCACATATACCATATAACTGTTAATCCGGCCCTGACTACTGTCAGGATAGTGGTATCCTTGAACTTAACACTAAAATTATGAAGCATCAGATCTTCAGAACCGCACTATGAGGTAAGATAGTATCGACATGTTCTTGCTTCTTCAGAGTGAGGATAGCGATACAGAAGAGATTTATATGTAAGAATGGATAACTTGAACATGTATGTCAAAAGGACATATTATTTGTATCCAGTCTGCAAAGGAAATTACAAGGACATTCTTCGTTCTACCCCCCACGCAAAGTCAAGGGAAAATCCTGGGTGCTCTTACTGGTTGCGAAGCGAATGAAGACCATATAGAATGCAATCGAGATGATAACGACGAGCTGGTTGATCGAAGTTCAGTGAGTTTCGATAGCAGGGGTTGACGGAATTACCATATCTCCTATAACGAACACTCCATTGTTCGAGCGGACGAAACATATCAGTAAGGCGCAGAGCATCGCGGAGCACAAAAGAGCAGCATCGATAAGCACCCACACTATCGGCATTCTGCCCTTTGTAGAACGAAATGCAGAGACACTGCATTCAATCATCCAGATGCGATATGTCAGCAGTCCTGGCAAGTTTATATGAAGCATAATACCGCGCTTGTGCAGAAGTACGCTTACCAGTAGTTGACAAATTAGTTGTAAGTGTGAAGACAAGGAACGCCGTGACCCAGTGACCAATCTCACTGGTAAAGACACTTCTGAAATCGCTCCCTGCTTGCGAATAGTTATAGATCCAAAAAACACCGAACGCTTCAGGGCAACATTAGAGCACACAACTTTCTGAACGTGATGGCGGCCTTACTTGCAACGCCACACCACATTACGCATGGTAGAATGATGATCCGTCCGGGTCTCCAAACTATACAATTGTTGGGTGTGTCCACGACGGCCCATATCGATACTATGAAATTGCACAGGATACTGTGAGTTGTGTCCGACCAACGCATACAAGATCCTGTTGGAGTCCTGTGCCACGCCCCGCGCGGCCGCTGGAGGGGTACCCCCGGGTGTTTGCCACCATTCGCGTAGCTTAGTCAGTAGGGGTAGCGTTGTCATAGGTAGCATGATCATTAGGTCGAGGCCACACTGGCTTCCATCTGCCAGAGGCAGGTATATTGCCACCCACGCCAGTCCACTATGCAAATTGCATTGATAATCATAAGCAATGAACTAAGGTCAATCTCGTTATCAACTCACCTGGTCACTAGTAATACATCTGCATCATAAGAAGTCCAGTAGGTTTCAGCGCCCGACCTCACGAGGCTAGATGTCAAATTCTGTAGAGTGGGCTAGCGTCCCCAAATGAGTAGATGGTGCCTGCTGTCGAAGATGTCACGGATGTACGGTCCAGTTCGGTAAGCAGTGGCCAATATAAGTGTATGCAGTGAAGCACTCTGCTGTGAATGAGGAGGCTGGGTCATGCAAGACTGCTGTTTCGCTGAATCTAAGGTTTCCAGTTTGGTACCCATGTCGTCTTTAGACTATACCTGGCTAACGCTTCTCCGGTGTCAAAAAGATTCAGCCACCGTGAATATAGAACGTATAATTCAAGAAAGTTATCTAAGTAAGCTGTCCTCGGACTCTGAGCATCGGAGGGTCGATCAAGTCATTTGTGTCTTGTCCTTGTTATTTTCTGGGTACAACTGCAACACAATCAACGCCATCCGAGCAATTGTAAATTGAATCACGCACCTTTCCAGGATTGAACAAGTTCAAAGGATCGATGGCATTTTTGACGGTTTTCATCAGTTCCACGGTATCCTCGCCCAGTTCTTCCACAAGATACTCCGTTTTGCCTACCCCTACACCGTGTTCGCCCGTACCTGAAGAGAAAAGGCTTAAAGACAATATGCTTAAGGCATATGGAACACTTACAGGTACCATCCATCTGGATGGCGCGATGGACCAATCTATGAACCGCTTCACCGACGCTCCGCAGTTCTTCTTCATCTTTGAATAAAATGAGTGCATGGAAGTTACCTACATAACTCATTTATACACAACGAAACAACGCATTTCAATGCCCTTACCGTCACCAACATGCCCGACAATAGTCGATTTCAAACCAGCCTTAGCAAGATCCTCTTTGGTTTCATACACTAGCTGCGGAAGTCGGGAAACCGGCACGCTGTAAAGTAACCCACGTCATACGCATCATTGAAAACCATCAAGCACGGGAAGGCTAACCATACATCGGTTGTCCAAATTTTTGAACCAGGTTGTGTCGCTAACGTCGAGAAGAGAGCCTAAGATTAAACTATCGTCACAATATTATGGCAAAACAATCGCGGTTGACGCACATATTTTCGATTTTCCCACATCTCACCTGCCTCCTCCTCTGTTGCCGCGAATTCAAATCGAGTGCTACCATGACGCTGTACAATCTCTTGCACGACATTGGAAGTGTCACGGATAGATTCAGGGGATCCTTGAATCTTGAAGAAGAGAGTATCCTGCACCGGATAAGGAGCATCAACCAGCCCAGCAGTGTTGATGGCTGCCATCACTGAAAGCACTTGAGAAAGCATCAAAGACATGAAACTAGTCTACTCGCTGTGATCGTCCAACAGCTCCACGCATTCTGGAAGGAAATGTTTCGGTAAATGAAACGAGATATAACTTGCCACTGACGTATGTGGGGACCGTGTGGAGTATTAAGGATCTGCTGAACGGCGCTGACCGCTTTTTCGACGTCAGGGAACTGTGCCATGGCAACTTTAGTGGGTACTCTAGGAGCCAATCGCAATGTAGCTGGAATAGTATTGGAATTAAAATGTCATCCCGAGTACCGAATGCCAAATTTACCCTCTGTGACTATTCCAAGCGTTCCTTCAGCACCGATGAAGAGTTTAGTAGTATCGAAGCCGGCGGAAGACTTGCGCGCCCGTCGGCGGGTCTTGATCACTTTACCAGATGGAAGGACGACTGTCTAATACAGACTTAGGTGATCCAAAAACACTCTCTAAAAGACTTGGATTGAACTCACGATATTGAGAAACCATTCTGCTTTAGCAGTTCCATATCTGACTGCATTGGCTGTATTGAGATTGGGGTTGATATATGCAGCGCTATAACAACATAAAAAAGCACCAACTTCCTGAACACCCTGTACCAATCATGCCGCCGATGGTCTGTAGCAAGTCATGATTTGAACAAGAAAGAATTGGAATACAGAATGACTTACAGCTCCAGGACCTGGGTCAAGCTGTTCAAGTTCAAAGTGAATTCATAAGCCATGGCAAATCGTACGCACAGGGAAGAATAGAGGAATACCCCTGTCTTTTAGTGTATTGTTTATGTCTTCCCACTTTGCTCCAGGCTGACAGCGCAGATCACCATCAGCCTCTGCAGACAGTTCCATGAGCATCGGTGTTGGAACAAAGCAGAAACACCGTATCACACCATTTATTTCCAAAATGCTATTCATGGCAGACAGGTCAAGGCATATGCTACCCGAAGGAAACTGGCCATCATGAACGTCAACATCGCCCAAGTAACGAGAGATGACTGCTCAATTCTCACACCGGTGAAATGGCCCTCTATACTCGTAGCACCACCGAGCGCAATGATGGGAACCTTGTACTTGCGAGAGATATTGACGACTTTTACCACGTCGTCCGTGCTGTATGCCATGACTACAACCGAGTGAGGACAACTCGGGTGATACGAATGGTCGGAGGATCCATGCACTCGGAGGGAATCTGGGCTGGTCTGAACGCGATTCTTGCCGGGGAGGGCGTCGCGTAGTTCCTCAATTGCTTTTTGAACGTCTTCGGGAGACCCGTAGGTGGACGTCGAGAATGAGGAGCTCCCGAACGCATCGGTTATGTCTCCTGCACCACCTGCACTGGATAGCTCTCCTGAGCCACTTCTCTGGAGGTGCGCAAGTGACAGTTCTCCGAGCTCACTAGATGTAGTATGAATGGTAGTAGTAGCACCAGTCTCCAGTCTTGCTGGTACCAATCTGGGTTCGCGGTACTGGAAGATATAATAGCTTGTCCCCATCGCGAGCAAGGAACCCAAAACAAATTCTCCGATACGAAGAACATCTTTCTGGGTGGTATGCCCGGAAGATGATGAGTGATGGTAACTTGCCCTGCAGCTGCGGATGCAGCTTGAACGCAAGGAAAAATGATAACCCCTTGCAACAAGCACTCTCATAGAAAGATGGAACATGGTGTGCCAGGTGAAAGGTAGACTACTACTACCACGTAGCAAGACAAACGTGACGTATTTTATATAAAACAACCCCGTGAGGATAATCATGAGGTCAGTCCAATGAACTGTCATGACGTAACACTAGCTTTGCGGCCGCCGAACTATACCACAGTGCAGCTGCAAGTTCAATCAGGATGACCAGTGGTGACGCATTGAATAGCATCACGATGGTTGCTTCAGAGGTAAAGTACTAACATCCCCGATAATCATTTTCTGAGCAGTACATACACAGGATCGCCGAGAACGACATTGGTCAAGTGACGATATGAGCCTGTGATCGATAACAAAAGTCCACCGAATGATGCGTAGGCTGTGCTACGAAGTAAGTAGTATGAGTTAGAAGGCGGTCGACAACAAACATGCAAGTAACTTACACAATGTCGGAAGATCCAGTATCAAACTTATAAACCTGCGGGGACCAACGAATAAAATCAAACTTAAGGTGCTGGACTCGGAAAGATAGAGACGCACCTTCCCATACATTACATAGTCATAATCTTCTTCCAATCCTCTCCTTCCTTTACCATCTGGCCTCCATACGTCTCTATCTTTGTCTTCGCCACCTTCGCCATCTGCGGTGGGTGCGCCGCCATCTCGTGATAGCGACGAAGCAAGGGCCATCGCAAAACTGTCCCCATTCACTAAAGGGAAGAGTTCGATATTATAGTCAAGCGTCAAGTCCATATCATAGTTTTTTGAACGAGCGTATAACCGAGATACTGGTCGTACACAGCACATGTCAGTCGCAGGTAAAAAAGCGATGTGCATGAATAAGCCCTGACCTCGATCAAATTTTTTGCCATCCTTGTCGATGGCATCGGTCGTAAAAATATCGTCAAAAACGATGCTGGATGAGGTTGAGGCCATGAGTAATAGAAGGAAATTCAAACAAGGAATTGATTTGTGTTTGGATCCAACTGGCCAAGTCGTGACACACTTAAAATTCAATATTCACGCGTGAATGTTAATGAAGGAGCGTCTCTTGCTTATTACCGCACTGGGATATCCGCGACCCCTGTTTGGCTGTCCTTGCTGGCATGTTCAACGTCGTGCGCAGTAGAAATTGTCTATATATTCTCCGGCCAGCAACTCGCACAGCGCTGCAAGTCAGACATTCATCTACATTTACTATCTGGAATCCACCCAAGCATGCACCGCGAGAGGTGCCAACGCCTTTGGTGTTATGTTCAGCGTCACATTGGGATTTAGGAACACGGAATAAGTGAGCATTTTGTTTTGCTACCTTTGCTCGGCTTGAACATTATACGAAAACTGTCGACGGTAGCCTCATCCCCCAGTCATTTGCTTCTATGCTCGCGGAGAAAGGTCACACCTGCATTCAGGTCGATTTTGGACCACCTGGTGAGAACGAAAAGTGCTCCAGCTCACAGAGTCTTGTGGGTCACTTGAGTGAAGGTATGCTTCATTTATTCGAGGAGTACATACTACCATCTCGTCGGTTTCAGAGCTCAAAGTCAACTTGCGCCTTTCTGGAAATCCCTTCCCACCTGTAATATTCGCGCGAGGCTTTGCTTCTCTCATCGCACAGACATATATCTCTTCCCACCCAGCACAGGGATTGTTTATGATTTCCCCTCCACTATCCAATGCGTCACTGTTTCCTAGCATTCTTCCAACTCCGCTAGGAGAGTTTGACTACGAACTCAAGTTCCCCGTCGCCGTTATGGCTCATCCAGCAGAAATGGATCAGCTGAGGAAGTATAGTCGGTTGGGTCAAAATGAGTTGGTCGACTTGATTGAACATGACAACTTAGAAGGTCAGGATGCTTTCATGAAAATAGAGCAGTGGTTAGACGAACTGGGGATCTGATACCCTTTATTAAAAGGAGCCAATGTCTTCCATATTCTAAGGGTCTGGCCAGTATGCATCATGACCTTGTTCTCCTTCTCACGGTGGTTGTTGCATTTGCTCTTAACATGATTTTAGACATAACCTGCGGAGGTGCCATATCGGTGAGAATACAAACACGCAAACGCCAGACCATGTAAAGTGATCATGTATTGTGAACGGTCTTGTGATCACTCAAAAAGTCGTGGTCCTCAGGCTCAATATTGACTCAACAAGAATGGACGAGATCACTAGCCCCATACTTCGACCCTGGACCTTGCATGGTATTCTGGTTTATCGAACCTGCAGACGAATGCGGTAGCCACCGGCGGTACGATGCTACACCATTGCTAGGCCCACCGACCGAACGTTGACCCGTACGACACCGTGTCCTGAGCTACGTTGTTTCTGTATTCTCCTTCACTCAGCAAACCTGGGAATCGACTGAGCTCATCACAGCTTTGAGTTAATATCGGTGATTATTACTTCAGTAACTGGGTTGTTGGTATAAGTACAATTGATGACAAGATATCACGCACGAACGAGTGAAATGATTACACAGTTGTAGAATAGCATGAATAAATACTCCCTCCACCATCAGCCCTGCTCTTTGGAAGCAGCCTGTTCTTTTTCTATCTCCTGTTGAACGGTAGCCAAGCTTGCCATACCAGGTAGAATAACTTTCCACGTTCCTCTGAGGGCTAGGACTTTCCTGACCTGATATTCTATCAACTCATGAAGTTTTGGCACGTCCCTGAGCATTGCTCGGCTCCCCATGAGCGACGTTGTCTTGAGGTTGAGAGTAAAGTCTTGTGGCAACGATATGGTCAAAACGGGGGCAGCTGATGCAGGGGACGGCGGAACCAAGGTAACCTAGAGAATATGACTCCCTGTGTTTCAAGAAGTAAAAATTGGCAATAACTCACTTTTGACTCGAACAGAGATAAAGATATTGTGAGTGAAACAGGTAGCCGAGCAAACGAAGACATGGGGTAATTAAACAAATAGGACGTAGAAAGTGAGACGGAGATGGTGTCTGTATATGACATGTCGAATTCGATTGTCTGTCTATCTGGTGAAATAGTTCTGTGCAAGGATGGCGTGAAAACTAACCGTCGGAGCGGAGTCCCCATCGTTGTCATTCACAACCTGTGCGTTGGACAACTTGGGCGCAGACATTCCTAGGTCCACAGAGTGTACTGTGATATGGTCCTGTTGTAGTTGTGAGTTATGGACAAAGACTATGCAGGCGGAATACTTGCTAGAAATCCGCGCGGACGCAAGTTATTCGCGTGGTCCTCAATTTTCCTGCGGGCAACCTCAATTCCCTCATATCCCGTAAGGTTGTTCTGAAGCTTGGCTCTATACACTTCCACAACCTAATATTACATGAGATTGGATCGGAATCCGCCCAGAAGCTCAGACAACAAACCTGCCTTGCGAGTATATTGAACCAATGCGCTGACTCCTGTTCTGGAATACTGTCTTTATCGTCCTCCTTCACGTCTTGATGCCACGAAGGGTTTGATTTTGACAGAGGATGGAATGGGACGGTTTCCGTCTCACTTTCAGGAGGAATGAAAAATAGGTATTTGAGGACAAGCGCGAGGAGAACCAAGATTGAGAGTTGACCTAGCACGAGGCCTTGAGTGAAAGTCGGCGTGAGGGAGAAGATATAGCTGTTTCCCATATCGGATGGGCGTTGAAGGCAAGCTCACTGGCTTCAGAGAAAGCGCTGGTAATTGGCATATGTATGCGTTGTTTCACACAATTTGGCAGGAAGTCATCTTTGTTAGCAACTTATTAGCCGGTTACATGGACAATTTGCCGTATCATAAATCGTTCAAAACTTAATTCTATCAACCATATGGCTAATACTGCTTTTGTCTCCTGGCCATCAGCGCCGTTGACCGAGTCACTCGTCAAGAGAGCTTTGTCAAATTTGCCTGTCTCAATCATCACATCACTTCCCGGCACCCATGAATGCTCAAAACTGCTTCAGTGGTCCACCTACGATGCTATCGATCATGACCTAACACACCGTAATCCTGATAATGTCCTGTCGTCCTCTTACACCATCAGAAAAGCTCTCATTCGCAAACACTACTTAGCACGATGCATTCATTCATATTTGACAAAACATCTCGACTCCGTCCTCAAGGATGCGGTGCCTAGGACATGGGATCTCGAGATCTCTTACGCGGATGAGCTGGATGAAATGTGGAGCGACCAACTTTGGGATCTTGGCAATGAAATCAACTCTGACTCCTCTCAATGGTGGATTTTGAAGCCTGGCATGGCAGATCGAGGAATGGGTATTAGGTTGTTCAACAGCAAAGACTCGCTATATCAAATTTTCAAAGAATTTGAAGAGTATTCCGAAGACGAAGATCAGATCGATGACACCTCTGTAATAATATCACAACTTCGTCATTTTGTCATTCAGGTCACAAGGTCTCTTTTTTTGCGATGTGATGCTGACTGTTCTTTGATCACAGGAATACATACCTAGTCCGGTACTCTTGGACCCCAACGAAAGGTCTCTTGGCGTTGCTATGTTGAACCTACCTGAAAACTTGCAAGGACATAAAGTCAATCCACTCTATCTTCTCCTCGTCAGCTTTTTATGACGCTGACGTCCAGTTCCATCTACGGGCGTACTTTGTTGCATCAGGAGCATTGCAACTCTTCATGTATGATCGTGTTCTTGCTCTGTTCGCTGCTGTTCCGTATATCAGTCCGAGGAAAAGGAGAGATGTCAACGATGACGCTCCCGGAAACATTGACTTGACACCTCATCTTACGAACACCTCGCTGCAGATTGATCGAGGCGAGAAAGGCGTCCATTTACTTGATGAACTTTCAGGATGTCATATCCTATCTGGAGATGATACGGATCGCGGAGCGTTATTTACCCCCGAAGATATTGAGAACATAAAGGTTCAAATGGGCTCTGTTCTCGCGGAAACGTTCAAGGCCGCTTTAGAAATGCCTATACACTTCCAGGTAATGTGATTTGCTGCTGATCCTCTGCTTTGGTGTTAAGTCTTGATGTCAGCCGCTTCCAAATGCATTCGAATTATATGGAGTCGACTTCCTAGTGTCTCATGACTCAACTGGGCTTGATTCATCAGGCAATTCGCAATTCTTTCAAGTCAAACTGCTGGAAATCAATTCAGAACCCGCTATCGAATTAACAGGTCAAAGGCTACATAGAATTCTCGAAGACTTGTTTGTTGCGATCGAGCAGGTTGCAATACTACCCTTCTTTAGACAGGAAGTTGGATGCGTACCAAGCATGGAAGTGCCTGTGGTACCAAGGCACTTGCGAATGTGTCTTGATAAAAAGGTTCGAGGATCTGGAGGTTGGTGAAGAATTAGAAATTTGTTACGCGTGTATTCATCCTAAAATATACACTTGCCTATCCAATGTGTTGCATGGATCACGACGCTGAGCTCTCCTCCTTTATGTTTATGTTTATGTCGGACGTTGAAGGCCTTTTTGGATTGTGATCATGCCTTTCATCAGTCTCGAAGCCTCTTTTCCGCTTGTTATTTGGAAAGGTACCATCCTTCACGCCTTTGGGAAGATCCTTGCGTCTTTCGAAGAGCTGTTTTGCGAATTCTTGGTCGTAGGCGACACGTCGGATACCAAACATTTCGATTTGAAGAACTCCGTCCCAATACATCTTCTCCACCATTCGCATCTGCGAAGGCGGAATAAGGTCTCGGAATAAGACGGTGTCCTTAGCCATCGCTTCCATCCTCTTTGGGAGTTTTTAGTCACTATTGATTGTTTGAATCAAAAGTGACCTACTGGAGAGCTCAGCTTCTTGGTGTGCTCAGCTGAAAGAAGGAACGATTCGCCTGTTCGTTCATAGGTGCCAAGATACTTCCAACCGTGGCCGTCGTGATAACATAAGTCTTTCCTTTGACCAAGTTCAATATCTGGACGGACCCCAATCCATGCACCATTGTTCTTTTGGGGATTGTATTGATGCGTTGGTCTTACGATAAGGCCTAGGGCGATTCCTGCGCGGGCGAACATCACGACATCCCTCTCAAGCCGGAGGGTACCGTCACAGCGACTGCGACTTGTAGG